ACTGGTGTACACCGCTTAGAGAGTGCTTGTACTTAAAGCGGTATATAAGTCTCATAAATAAATAAATAAATAAATCTCTCCATCACTGAAAGTTCAGTTTCTACTAGGAGTTGGTATAGACATACCAGCATGTAGGTTCTTGAAGAAGGGACCATGAAGAAATACATGTATAAGGTTTCAGTTTTATTCTGGCCATAGGGGAAATTTCTTTCATGGGGTTTAAATGGAGTTTTAGGAAACCTTCCATCCAATACTGTGAAGGGTAGAATATTAAAGTAGGCCAAAAAGAAGGCTCTACAATGTTCTGAGTAAACCAGATTAAACAGATTCTTAACATATCTTAAAGGTTTCCCAAAAGTAACTCACCCTTGTGCATTGTCTATAATGTTCAAGTTTCTCTGACATGCAGTATCGAACAATCTTTGGCAAATCTCTCAGCTGTCACTTTTCTAGGCTTAGAATTGACAAAGAATAGATAGAAAGGCTGCAATAATGCAGGTCAGCTATTATTTTTTACTTTCCATCTTGATGCAAAGTCATCAGGGAGAATTAGTGACATGAAGTCATTAGAGAGAATTAGTAGGGCCAATGGGCTAATGGAAAATAGAAGTTTGAGCCAGTAAGCTGGATCTTAGTAATTACCGTAATTGTAAGCTATTCCTCTTTACACAATTGTGGTAAAATTTTCAAACTTCTCCTTTGTTTTTGTAAGCAATGAAACAACATTGCCAAATAGCCTAAGGTTAGTATGATGAAATTCCTTTTTGGTAAGAGTAGCAACCATTTAATTTGTATAAATATTATACAGGAGAGAAACTAAAATGCGTCTCTTTTTCACTCCTCAGCTAATTGCAGTATCAGCAGTAAGATAGCCATGTTTATTGAACTTAACTTGAGTGACTGTGTTTTCATGCAGCATCCTGATTAGTGAAAGTAGCCATGAGTCAATAGCTGTAACAGTGAGCTTCTATCAAAGTCAATCTCTTGGAATGGAACTAAAGGATTTTAGTCAATGAAAGCAAAGTATAAAAGATGTTGCTGTCTCCTGGTATATTTTTCTATTAGGACTTATAGAATAACCACTGTTCCATTGTAGAATTGCCCTCTCTTAGATTAGGAAGAATAGAACATGAATATAATAAGTACTGATGTAACCAATGACAGGGAAAAATAACATGTGAGGGTGCAACCTGGTCATTGCAGGGAAAAGAGGACATACTGTTATTTGGCTCCCTTTCTTTTTTGGTTGCACTCTAAGCAAGGAAATTGTATTGGGCTCCCTGATTTAAATACCCACTGCTTATTGCCAGGTCAGCTATTGATAAAAATTTGTTATCCATGATTTAATCATGCATGAACATGTTGACCTGGCGTGTGTCTAAAAACCTGGTTAACAGAGAAGGAAGGAGCAAATCAGGACCACCTGTACCCATTGGGCTCAGGACCACCTGTACCCATTGGGCTCAGGACCACCTGTACCCATTGGGCTCTATGATACAACATGCCAGGGCTAGAAAGTGTGGTAGTGGTATGCATATATAAAAATTCCATTTCACTGACCAAACTTCCATCTTGCAGCTCACCAATTTTGAATAGTTGCTGATGCAACTGAGTGGTACTGGTGATACAGGGACACCAGGACATACTCACCATCCTGTTGCATAAATATTTCTTTTACTGGAGTAATTTATCAAGTGATAATGACTATTGTAGTTCTTTTGTCCTGGAAATTTCCATATTCGTGATCAAATAATTCAGGATTTAATTTCTGCCATAATGACTATAGGTCTGTCCCAAGTGGTATCCAGTCTGTACAAACAGAATTTGGTATTCTGTTTATTTGGAGCCAGCAATCTGAAAATGGAAAAGCTATCTGTAACTCTGTAATTATCTTTTCAGGCACAGATAATTGTTATGTTGGCAACTGCTATATACTTCTGCAAGAGTAAGGACTAGATAAAAGGGTAAAATTGAGAGGTGAGAATTTTCCTACCTCATCTTTGGCAATTCTATTGAAACCCTAGTTGATTTATAGAACATAAGAGTAGTTTGGGCTTGATGATATAATAAGTGTCCATTTCCATCTGTTAGAGGGAATAAAAATCTACTATATGATTAGTATGTTTCTGAGGTCATTAAAAATCAAGATTGAATCAAAGCAAATTTTATATTACTTTGTCAATTATTACATAACACTTTCTCGATCACTTCTATCTATAGTTTGTAAACTTCCATTCATATTTTGAAAATAATTATTTGGAGAGTTAAATGTTTAAAACAAAATATAACAATCTAGGATTTTTAATATGACAAGTATCAACTGATTTTTGTACTCTTCAATTTTTAATTTGCACAATTTGGCTTAAAAGTAGTTGAAGTAAGGATTCTGCAGTCTCAATTTATTTGTTTTTCTGTTGGTTATCTATGTATTTCTTTGCTTGTTTATTAATCTATTGTTTTTATATAACACTAGGTCAAAAATGAGTTCTTGTATTTCATATTATAAAATATAAAAATGTAGAAGAAACAAAATAAAAATACAAAATTACCATAAAACAATAGGCAAAGTGGCAACTATCGACCAATATATGGTCTGCTTCATTTTGCACAAAATGCAGTTTTTGAGTGGTCTTTAGAGGCAGCTGTTATGTTATGTTATTATTGGTGGTTCTGTTATAGATTCTATTATTGCAATTATGATTTTCAATTATATTTTTATGTTATAAATTGCTTTGAATTCCCTATTATTTTAATGAAATTGCAATGGAATTTTTTTTTTTTGAAGAAAGAAATGTGAGAATGACAATTGTTGTATATTTAGGTAAAGTTTCATATGGCAAGAGGCCCAATCTTGTGGTATTTTGTTTTATTTATTGTGGATGCAGAAATTAATCAACCAAACTGCTGTTTGACAAGCTTTATTAAAAATAAAGTTTAATGTTATTACTTTGACAAAAACATTTTGTATTTCTTATCCAGTACTGACACATAGTACACTATCCATTTGACAAATATTTATTTTTAATAAAATGAAAATATTTTAATATTTTTTTTCTAAATAAAGAGCCTTTTTTAGTATTCTCAATGTACCGTATTATTGGCATATATGGGAGCCATTCTCTAATTTATAATAGGCATCTTTTATATTTAGTACAGTAAGTTTTTTTCTCCCAAGAATATAGAATAAGATTCTGCTTTGCTTGCAGTGATACTAAAAATAAGAAAAAAGGAAGATGGAAAATTTATGTTAATTAGGGCATATTTCCTTGTTAATATAAAAATATCTGCTACAATAAAAAGCTTAAGTATATGGTACATAATAATATCAGGAGTCCTTTCCTAGCTAGCTAACTTGAATAAATGGATCTTTCCCCTGACTAAAGCCGGTTCTGTTAGGCATGTACTGTATTTAAAGCTATGGGAAGCCATGACAAACCACTTTCAAACCTCACTGCTTTAGTATACAACTTGGTTAAGTCTCAAGAGTTTAACACCAAAGATCTGAAAAGCTGTCTAATTATCTCTTGACCACCTCATTGCTCACCTGCTATTTTTTCTTCTTAAATTATCTGTCAATATGACCAGTCTATTTAGCTAATGAGCTCCCATTCACTTAGTCTAATGTAGACAAAACAAAAACATTCTAAGAGAATGAAGTAATTCGGCCCTAAAATTTAAAAGAATGAAGAGGCAAACTCCCTTAAATACTTCTCCTTAGAATAAGTGTAGAGGACATAAAGGATGGGAACCCTCCTCTGCTAACTGACTAAAAAGGAATTGAGTTAATCAAGCTGTATCATTCTTCTATATCTGGGTGGCAATGCTATTAAACTAAATAATTTTGAGAAATGATTTTTTTAACAAAATGATGCACATTCTAAATGTTGAGTTTTATTTTCAACCTTCCATATTTCTGTTAAATATGAATAAATCTTACATTTCTACAAAATATATTGCATTAGGCTTGCATATGATTACTGTTACAATGAACATCTATGCTTTTTCACTGGGAAGTGCTACACCTTGTCATTGGGAACATGCAGTATATAAATTTAATAAATAAATTTTGTATGAACAAAAATGGCAAATCAAGTTGTTGGAGTATGCCTTGTTGTTTAAAATAACTTCAAACGTGAAAAGGATACCTAATTTGGATGGAACCATTTACAAGGTGGTATTACCATGTCTGTAATTTGGGCTTATCTTAACATCAGAGTTTGATATGTAAGCCCTCAAGGACATGTCAAAGAGATTATTTTATTGAAAGTATATGACTCATCATATTTCAATTTTTAATGCACTTTCCCTTCCTTATTGTTTCACTGTTATTTAATACTCTGTTAAATATATGGACATAGCATGGCAACTATATATACTGCTCACAAAAAAAGGGAACACAAACGTATAGGATCCTATACGTTTGTGTTCCCTTTATTTTTTTGAGCAGTATATATTTTATTGTTGTTGGCTAGAATGGCTGCTTTCAAAAAGAGAGAGCAGACTGATTTAGTATGCCTTGTTCTTAAGAAATCCAAGCTGGCAGCAAGCAATTTCCAACATTAGAAACCCATTGCTTTATAATTTGTTCTAACAAATAGTTCCCCAATTTAGTCTGGCTTCAGTAGTTGGCAGAACAATTTATAAAGCAATCTTTCTAGAACTAATTCAGAGGAAGAGGAGTTTCCTTAATAGTCAGTTGAGTTTGGTGCAACAGCCTTCCATTCCCCACCCCCAACTTTGCAAAATCTTTCTTTGGAACCTCTGGAGATAAAGCCATGTCAAGTTTAGACATGAAATGCTAGAGCCATGTAATTATAGGTTAACAATTTAATTTGATGCCATTCTATAGGCATTTATAGAATCTTAAATGTCTTTATAAAATAATTTTGTTTTATAATTGGTTTGCAATTTTGGTTTACAGTTGCAAAATGCTTTCAGGTTTGCTTATGTAATAATATGTTAAATGAATATTAATTGTATTATTTTGTATCTATACCCAGGTGACTTCCAGTGGGAGAGCAAATTACTACGTGTCTTACAAAAGAGAACCCTTTACTCAGATAAAATTACCTAAGTATTCACTACCAAAGGTAAATGTACCTCAACACCTACAAAAATAAGAATGAAGTATTTGATTCTCACATTATTATACACAAAATAAAATTGTCATATTTCTATAATAAATTATGGCTAGAGTGCCGATAAGTGATTCCAATCCAAATGTTTCAGAATCTTTGTTTTCTTTACCCCATGCAATAAAATGGGATGTCTACCAAAGCTTATTGGCTATATGGTTGGTGAGCTGCTGTAATGTTATATTAATAACTAATATTTTGACTTCAGCTTGACAACAAGCATACAACTGATTGATTGTGTTTGAAAGCAACTGGAAATCAATGGATCCAGTGCATTTGTGATTTTATACTGAAATAGTTCTTTGATTAGTAATATTATATCGATAGGAAGTAGCATTTTTACTGGAAATATTTGGCTTTGATAGCTAGGAGTTATATTGATACGAACTCTAAATTTAAGCATGGGATGTATTAAAAATTGATCACCTTTGTTACTGCCTGTTACCCAAAAACTAGGTTCAGGCTTAGTATCTTTGTTAGCTTGACAATTGTGTTTTGTCTCTTGCTGGCCAAGGGAAACCTTTAGGCTCTGAAGCTACAAATCTTTGAAGAGCAATAAAAAGGTGCAAGTGTATAAATAAAAAAATGAAGTAGGATGAAACTTTTTTAAAGATTCTGGAATCTGTCTTCTTCTTCCACACTGATTACCCTGTAGCCAATTTAAAATTAAGAAACATACAAATAAGAATACCTGAATGTCATAATTTATTGGCTTGGTCTAATGGAAAATTGTTTAACATCACTCATAACTCATGATCTTTCCCCTGCAGTGGCATAAGGCATGATAATTGCTTTGTGTCCCAAAGGGCAAAGAAATATAAAGATTGGAAGTAATAAGTCTTTTATCTTCCTTAACAGGACATGCATATTATCAGCACAGATGAGAATCAGGTGTTTGCTGCAGTTCAGGAATGGAACCAAAATGACACATACAATCTCTACATTTCTGATGTTCGTGGAGTCTATTTTACGCTAGCTTTGGAGAATGTTAAGAGCAGCCGAGGACTAGAAGGGAATGTTATCATTGATCTTTATGAGGTATGCATCCAAGATCATAATGAGGCAACTTGTCCTCTTATAAAAGTAAAACTCACTTCCTGGTATTTAATTGAAAAGACTGCTGTTATTACAAGAAGAAATGAAGATGGAGTCAAATCTGTTGAGAGATCTCTAAACGCTTTCAGAATATAAAAATGAATTCTTGCTCCCAATTATTTTATTATACCAGAAACAACATTTATTCATATCTGTAGTGGAATAGCTAAATTCTGAAAGGGCTGCAGTCTCAAAACTTCTTTTTTTCTGAGTAATCCAATCCTGAACCTTCCCTATGCTTATGGATAGCAGCCTAGTAGATCCTATCTTTCAGGAATGTCTCACCTGGCATTTTCCCTCTTACTCCATTGTGTAAAAAGAGATACATCTTTTTATCTCTTAAATTAAATTAAAAGTTAAAAAATACAGAATTTAAAACAATTAAATTGTTTTAATTTAATTGTTTAATTTAATATATAGCTTAGAGGCACAGGAGCAAAGGATCCAGTCTCTCCTCTTCCCACATCACAGTCTAACGAGAAAAAGAAAAACTATATACACAGACACATATATACATCCATATACATATGTATGTATGTATGGATGTATATATACACACATATTCATATTATATAAATCCTTTTCAACCTTATACTGTATATTGTGCATGCACATGCACATACACACACCCTAGATAACATATTGTGATGGACCATAATTTGTTTTTGTCATTTTTATTCTTCCATTTTGATATTTTGGCTATCCTATTTAATAGCAACATTATTTTATAGGATTGTGTTTGACTAATATAAAGATCAAATTTTAGGTTTTTGCAAATAGCAAATAAAAGGAAAGGAACTAAGCTCTAGTTTCAGGTATTGTTCTGATTTTGAAGGATGGTATATAATATTTTAAATAAATAAATATTTATACAAGCACGTGCACACAAACACACAAACACACACATACAAGATTTACGAGAGCTGGAGTTTTTGTAATAAATATCCCTTCCTTTTTATTAGGAGCATGGTTCAGAATCAGAGTTATAGTAGAAGCCAGCAATGTCTGTACAATAAAGAAGTATAAAATGGGACTGTGAAATTCCTATGATGCAGGGGGTGGGGGAAGCAAAGGTTTTAGGAGTTCTGCTGCCAAAATGGAATTTCTCTGGAGATGAGATTAAAGTTCTCTTATGCGCTCTTAAAAAGCAATTTGTTTTTTGATAGGATATTTTGAACTCACTTCCTGGAGAATTTCCAAAATAGGTCTCTATAGCTGGGAATGATAGAAGCCTTTGTGAGAAACATTTACTGTACTTAAAATTACATTCATTTTCTTTTTTTAAAAAAGCCCTTTTATGAGATGTTTTCTCATTTTTCTGCCAGTGTGAAAGGTAATTCAGTGAGTTGATTTGTGGAATAAATTATATATATATTTTTCTCTTAGAATGAGCTAAACTAGGGCACGTTGGTAGGGAAGGAGGGATCTAAAAGCAGACACATCAGTTATATTTCATCTTTGATATTCTTTGTTGAATGTCTCAAAAATTAAATGCAATCGCTGCTCCAGTCTCCCATAACTACATGTCCTAATAATTTTAGTAGTCCCAGAAATTATAGCAATATATTAATGGTCACTATTCAGGCTGGGAATTTTGAGAACTAAACTATCAGTATTATCTGCAGAGCATCAGGCTGATGAAGGATAAATTAGTTAATCTTGAACATTTCAAAAATTCCAAGAAACTGATAGTTTATAGAATTTGAGATTTACCAGAGTGCTGAGAAGCAAAAAAACTTTTTAGTTGCTTGGGTTGAATACATTTGCTTTGAACAATCTTTAGACTTCTAATAAATATCTATGCACTATTTAGCTGTGCCTTGTCTTTGCCTAATCTTGCAATATGGTTTTTCATTTCTTATCATTTTTCCTAGGTAGCAGGGATCAAAGGTATATTGCTGGCTAACAAGAAAGTAGAAGAACAAATAAAAACATTTATCACCTACAACAAAGGAAGAGACTGGCGTCTGCTACAAGCTCCAGATTCTGACCTGAGAGGGGACCCCATTCACTGTCTGCTGGTCAGTGATAGAAAATTTCCAACCTCTAATTTTTGAATCAATTTCCCAAGTTTAAATAGGAAAGGAACTTATTGATGTCTATGCAATATTTCCTTGAAACCCATCCCTGTACGGTTAATATATCACCTTCTCCCCAGAAAAAATATTCATGGAATCATTACAAACATTTAATAACAGGCTATGAATTCATCTTAAATTTCATTGCTTTCTACCAAAAGAGGACTTTGAAGAATTATTATTTAATTATATAGTGTTATACTTCCAACTTTAGAAGGGAAAGTGATTTAGTAATTTTACTTCACTAAAGTCAAACTGGAGAAAACCAGACCATATGATCTACTTGCCATTGCAATTGAAAATCCATGAAAAGAAAGCTCTTGAAGAATACTGGGTGTCTAGCAAGTTTCACCTCAGATGGGGACTGCAGCCAAGAAATTAAAAGACGCTTGCTCCTGGGGAGGAAAGCTATGGCAAATCTAGACAGCATACTAAAAAGCAGAGACATCGCCTTGCCAACAAAAGTGCGTATAGTCCAGGCCATGGTTTTCCCAGTTGCGATGTATGGCTGTGAAAGTTGGACCATAAGAAAGGCTGAGCGCCAAAGAATTGAGGCCTTTGAACTATGGTGCTGGAGAAGACTCTTGCGAGTCCCTTGGACTGCAAGGCGTTCAAACCGGTCAGTCCTAGAAGAGATCAACCCCGACTGCTCTTTAGAAGGCCAGATCCTGAAGTTGAAACTCAAATACTTTGGCCACCTAATGAGAAGGAAGGACTCAATGGAGAAGGGCCTAATGCTGGGAAAGATTGAGGGCAATAGAAGAATGGGACGACAGAGAATGAGATGGCTGGATGGAGTCACTGAAGCAGTAGGTGTGAACTTAAATGGACTCTAGAAGATGGTAGAGGACAGGAAGACCTGGAGGAACATTGTCCATGGGGTCACGATGGGTCGGACACGACTTCGCAATTAACAACAACAAGCAAGTTTCTAGAGTAGGAGATTTCCCTAATTATTTCCATAATTTGTACAAAAACCAGAATGCTTTTCATATTAGCTTCATGTATAAACCCCACACGAGCAGATAAAACTGGTAATAACCTATTTTTGGAAATGAATTGTTGGTGAGGTTGTTGTTGGTGATGATACTATTTTTGAATGAAGAAAATGTAAACTATGATATCAAGAGGGTTAACTAGTCTATATCCTCAAAGTCAACTTATCAACGATTTCTCAATTCTTTCAGCCTTTCTGTTCCTTGCACTTACATTTGCAAATCCCTGAAAACCCTTACACTTCAGACAGCATTTCAAGCAAAGAGACAGTCCCTGGACTTCTAGTTGCTACAGGTAAATAAAATGGCTTTATTTAGTTCTTCCTGTTCTTTTCAGGGACAGCTGACAGAATAATGTTATCTGCATTTGAACATTTCTGGGGGAAAACAGTTATAGGCAGAGTTTTGTTAATTAATCAATTAATTGAGTGCCTTTGAGTCAGGTTTTTTTTTGTTTGTTTATTTCACTTTTGGTGATAATCTAGACAAATCCCTGGAGTTTTCTTGGCAAGATTTAGCATAGTCAATGAAGCAGAAGTAGATATTTTTTGGGAATGTGTGCACTTATTCTTCTGTTGGTTTGTCCGATGTATGTGGTGGGACAAGTGGTGCATGGGATTTCGTAATTGAATTAGAAAATCAAGGTAGTATACGAAATCCCATGCACCACTTGTCCCACCACATACATCGGACAAACCAACAGAAGAATAAGTGCACGCATTGAAGAACATAAGAACTCAGTCAAAAAAGAGGAACCAACATCTTCCCTGGTCCAACACCTTAAAGCCACAGGACATGAAATTGACTTTAAAAATACCAGAACCATTGCCAAAAGTGAACATTTTAATAACAGAATAATCAGAGAAGCCATCGAGATAGAAAAACGCCCACACAGCATGAACAAGCGAGATGATACCTCCCGCCTACCAGCCATTTGGAAACCCGCCCTTATTGACAAACGACTCCCTAACACAAAAAATGATACCAGACCCACACTCACAAAAACCACACAGGATGTCACCACCACACATCCACGCAAAAAACAAACCCAAAGCCACACCGATGACGAGGCACGACCACAAACCAGAAGCCAGACCACAGCTGCATCATTAGCCACTTTAAACCCCTCCAATCCATACATGAAGCAAACTGACACCCTCCATGAAGAGGAGGCACGACCACGAACGCGAAGCCAAAAAATAGCAAGGCAGCCCAAAATCTTAAACTCCTCTGCAACTCAGACTAACCTGAGCACAACCAAACAGAACACTCCCCCAGCCAATCAGAGCACAGCCAAGCCCCTAACCATTCAGAACACACCTCCACCCAATCAGAACACAGCCAAGCTCCCACCCAATCAATTCATACCAAGAAACAGCTAAGACCACACATTGCTGCTCAAAGCACGAAGCTGAAAACACCAGCCTGAGGATGACGAATGGGACTTCGTCGAAACGTCGCCAAGACACTTCCAATTTTACGCGGGAGAAAATCCGAACACCAAAGACCTATATATATATATATATATATATATATATATATATATATATATATATATATATATATATATATATATAATGCTGTATGTTACACCCTGTTGACCCAAATATGGGAAAGAGAAAAAGAGAAATCTTTTGCCTTGTATCAGCTCAAACTAGAGCTATCCACAGGCAGCAGTCACAACTGTGACATCATATACATTTCTAAAATTTGGATTGCTAGCAAAGAATTAAGGGAGAACTGGAATAGCTATTTCGAACTCTTTAGTTCTTTTCAACCAGACATACCCTTCTGAGATTCAACCAGACATACCCTTCTGCTGCCTGTGGATGGCTCTAGTTTGAGCTGATACAAGGCAAAAGATTTCTCTTTCCCATATTTGGGTCAACAGGGTGTAACATATAGCATTCTAGATAATTCCTCCCCTGTTTCTTCCCTCCCTAACACAGCTGGCAAAAATGAGAAAGAGCCTGTGGCCTAGAGGTTTAATACAGCTGCCTAACATGCAGACAGCCCAGGTTTGAATCTCAGAAGGGTATGTCTGGTTGAAAAGAACTAAAGAGTTCGAAATAGCTATTCCAGTTCTCCGTTAATTCTTTGCTAGCAATCCAAATTTTACGTGGGAGAAAACCCGAACAACCAAAGACCTACATACAAATACCCGCGAAAACCTCAGAAAACACACACACACACACACATATACATATATATATATATATATATATATATATATATATATATATGTTTTCTGAGGTTTTCGCGGGTGTTTGTATGTAGGTCTTTGGTTGTTCGGGTTTTCTCCCGCGTAAAATTGGAAGTGTCTTGGCGACGTTTCGACGAAGTCCCATTCGTCATCTTCAGGCTGGTGTTTCAGCTTCGTGCTTCGAGCAGCAATGTGTGGTCTTAGCTGTTTCTTCCTTTTAACTGCCAGTGGGGGTATGAACTGATTGGGTGGGAGCTTGGCTGTGTTCTGATTGGGTGGAGGTGTGTTCTGATTGGTTAGGGGCGTGGCTGTGCTCTGATTGGCTGGGGGGTTGGCTGTGCTCTGATTGGCTGGGGGGTTGGCTGTGCTCTGATTGGCTGGGGGAGTGTTCTGTTTGGTTGTGCTCAGGTTAGTCTGAGTTGCAGAGGGGTTTAAGATTTTGGGCTGCCTTGCTATTTTTTGGCTTCGCGTTTGTGGTCGTGCCTCATTTCATGGAGGGTGTCAGTTTGCTTCATGTATGGATTGGAGGGCTTTAAAGTGGCTAATGATGCAGCTCTGGTCTGGCTTCTGGTTTGTGGTCGTGCCTCATCATCGGTGTGGCTTTGGGTTTGCTTTTTGCGTGGATGTGTGGTGGTGACATCCTGTGTGGTTTTTGTGAGTGTGGGTCTGGTATCATTTTTTGTATTAGGGAGTCGTTTGTCAATAGGGCGGGTTTCCAAATGGCTGGTACATATATATATATATATATATATGTAGGTCTTGTAGGTCTTTGGTTGTTCGGGTTTTCTCCCGCGTAAAATTGGAAGTGTCTTGGCGACGTTTCGACGAAGTCCCATTCGTCATCTTCAGGCTGGTGCTTTCAGCTTCGTGCTTTGAGCAGCAATGTGTGGTCTTAGCTGTTTATTCCTTTTAACTGCCAGTGGGGGTATGAACTGATTGGGTGGGAGCTTGGCTGTGTTCTGATTGGGTGGAGGTGTGTTCTGAATGGTTAGGGGAGGAAACCCGAACAACCAAAGACCTACATACAAATACCCGCGAAAACCTCAGAAAACAAATATATATATATATATATATATATAGCATTGATTCCCTCTCCTTTCAAATGATTTTTAAACACACACAAACACACACACACATATACACATATAAAGAGAGAGACAGACAGACGGAGACAGAGAGATACATAATTTAGATAAAGATTGAAATATTTCCCTTTATAGTATGTAATTAATATATAAGAATATAATGTAAAGATATGATGTGGGCAGGTGCAAAGCACTATGTCTATCCTAATATGATCTCTGTTAAGTTCACTGTCACTATGACTGGTTAGTAAGATATTGTATAAATAGAGGTGCCTTACAAGTAAGAGTAAAGAAATTAAAAATATATATATACATGGAGTTGTGGTTCTAAATTATAGCTGAAGTTGAAAAGAGTCATGGAGATCTGTCACTTGGTTACAATCAAAACTCAATATCTGCTGAGTTCCAGGATTTTCACTAAATATTTTTTGTGGGTTGGAGTTATTCTAAATCTTCCTCCATGAAGACAGAAAATAAAATTCTGGATTTGGAAGAAATAAAACACTGCAGTCGCTTTATAATTGCACTGGTGATCATTGAAACATCCAGCTGATTATGTTATGATCAGAATAGTTTAATTTTTTAGTTGGCTCCAATCTTTCTCTATCCACCTGTCTGGCCATGTCTATTAGTTACTGTTCTCTTTGAGGCTATTATATACCAACACTGGGCTGATCCTGATGTCAGGGCAATTATGTGTGAAATAGCATCAATCCATGTTGCTGTCATCGGAGTGACCCTTATATCCATTCCTACATATTATTTTATTGTTACTTTGGCCTATTGGCCTGCATTGTCTTCATACTAAAACAGCAATTCCATATTAAAACATGGAGATAAATCCTGGAAAGCAATGGACACTATGAGGGATAATCCTTAAGCACTGAAACCAGGTGTTTGTGCAAATGTTGAAATAGCATTTCAATTGATATATTGAAATGATACATCACATATATTGGATTATGATCTAGACTATCATGATTCGTTTGAGGCCTGGCAGGTTACAGAATATGGAAAGAAAATTTCTCCCTCAGACTGTTATTCAGTGGCAGAGTTTCTTGAAAGCACCATCATGTTACTATACATTCTACTAGATCTAAGCAGGACTGCTGTGGTGTAATGTGCCCCTACTCTTAAGCAATGTTCTATTCAAGCTTTGTACTGGGGTTATTATGGTTTGGAAATTGAATGATTGGCAACCACTGTATATACATTGGGACATTCCCTTCAATAAAACCAAATGGAGATGGACTTAGCAATAGATGTACAATATATGTGACTGGAACCTAAGAATTATTATTCATAACTGATGAACAGCTTTTTCCTTACCAAAAATAACTTGGAAACACTATTGCCATGTATTTGATGTTCTGTGCTTTTCCATAAAACATATCTTTAACAGCTTGCTTCCAGAAGCAGTAAATGCTCCAACACTGGAAGTTTTTAAGAAGAGACTGGACAGCCACTTGTCGGAAATGGTGTAGGGTTTCCTGCCCGAGCAGGGGGTTGGACTAGATGACCTCCAAGGTCCCTTCCAACTTTACTACCACTACTATTATTATTATTATTCTAATAACAGCTTGTGATAATGTTAAATGCCAGCAGTGCCCAAGCCTTGATAGCCATCACAGTACCTGTATATCTGCACTTACCTGCTCACAGTAGGCTGTCTCATCAGGGTGGCCATCATCAACCAGTTTGATGCAGGGTACCCAGCATATTCAGTTCAGCGACAGCTGTCCAAGGTTATAAAACAAATGTTGAATTGTTGTTATTATAGATAACTTGTGTTTATACCTTGACATGTGTTCTGTAATTTCCCAGAAATGTCAAACAGCTGGCATATTGCTTTTTATAGGAACCTCGCTATTATCCTATTACATTCATGACCATAACAAATCTGAATATGGCTGTTACATGCTCAGACTTAAAGTGTTTCTTTGACTAGATTGGTGAGTGACAAGGTAGTAGTATAATTCACATAGCTCAGTCTAAGAAACAGCAATGGACTAATAAACTGATAGATTTCTCTGAACAACTAGTATTACCAGATTGGCTTTCTAACATGATATTTTCTAGAGAAGACCTGCATTATATAATTAGGACTATTTGTAATCTATGTCTGCTTTATATCAGTAACTCATAAAAAAGACAAAGATAGCTACAAGCTACAAAGTTCTCTATAGAAACTTGTTAGATTTGACATATAGTGTGAAATTAGATTTTAAATTGAATGGATATTGAAATGTAAACCTCTTAGTTATGAAAACATACAGGAAAACAAGCTTTGTACTTTGATCTACAATCATAACTGGATCAAACCTTGAAAAAGAACTTTTCCTTACACTCATCCATTTGTTTTGTTTTCCTTTCCAATCAAGAAAACTGTCATTTGCTTATGAAGATGGTAGGCAGAAGTTAGGAAGAACTCCTTATCTACATATATAGAAACAAGACTGTTGGTTTTCAGCACAAAATTTTGGTTTTGTGCATGCTATGTGCAATGTGGTATTTCTTACAGAGATGAAAAAGGGATCATACACCTGAAAACACCATCAAAATTATCAGCAGACTTAATTGAACAGAAAGTTCAGATAGCTTTAAACAGTTATTGAAATAAACTACATAGTATACACCATAAATAAGCTTCTGTTTGCATTATTTATAAAGTATGAGTGTCTTCTTTATTCAATAATTCCATAGGGAAAGGGTTAGTGATTTTTTTTATTAAGCAATCACTAAATTAGCAATGAAATCCAGAATGAAGATGGCTAACAGAGCTCTTGTTTACTAGGAATCAATTAAACTATTAGTAAAGCTATAATTTTCTCTCTAAATAAGAACATATTTGATGGAAGTATACCAAAGATTCAGACTCACAATGAACAAACTGCTTACTCGTCTATAATAACCTATTTTAAAAAATAGCAGATTTAAAATAGTATTTTTAAGAAACTTAGAAGTGAACCAGGTTTTTTTTGTGTTGAGGTTGGGGATGTGAGTATACCATCCCAAACATAAAAAGCATCTCAAATACATGCTCTCTAAGGTATCCATAGAATCACTCATACTTGGGAAAATAAAAGAAAGAGAGAAAGCTTCCTGGATTTCTGTTGTAATTATCTGCAGCAATGGCAGAGTTTGAAGTTTGGGCATGTGAAGTTTGGACATATGCAATGTTTATATGCAGCACAGGATTTTTTTTTCACTTCCTAGTATATTCAGAAATAGTCTCTATAATAATCTCTGTTTAAATTTTATGCAAGTAATAATTCTTGAAGTCTGTTCATTTAAAAATGACATTATTAAATGGTGCATTTTAATAGTTGCTATTAAGAACTTTTCTGATGACTTTTTGTATCAATAATAATACCTAAATTTCAGGTTTTGTTCTTTAGCAATTTATTTGTCTTTGCAAGTTGGCAGCTGCACCTTCTATTCACTAGTAGGAATGTGTCAAGCTGCATCTGGGCTTTCATTCTTCATTTTCCAACATTAAATGTCAGAAGCTCAATTAACATTTTCATTAGTGTGTATTTATTTTGCCTGCTCTGAAGTGATAAAAGTTGGGAATTGACTTTATCTTCCTTTCATTTTTAAGATAAAACAAAACAGAAAAAAATAGTTTTCATTTAACTTTATCTTTTCTTATGGTGAAATAACAATTCAAAGTTGATTTCATTATCAAATATGTAATTTAGGAAAACTTTATTTCAATTAAATTGTAGGTGGTTTCATTGGTTCTGTTTGCTTCTTATTTTCAGAGAATGTGGAAGCAGATTATCTAAACTAGCTTCAGTCCAGGACAAACATGTTTTTAGATGACCAGTGGGATAGAGTTCATTTCTCATCCTTGTTATCTTTGATTTCTCAGTTATCTTTTGATAACGTTGACCATGCTTCATTCAGGGCTCACTCTGGAAGGTTGAGAATAGAGATCACTTTTTTATGGTGGCTATATTCCTTCCTCTAAGGCCAACTTTGGTATTGGTTGAAGGGAGAGATTGCTCCCTAGGCTCTTCATTTACGGGTTACCACAAAACTTGACCTTTTTTTCTCCTCCTATGCAACATTAAGTTTATGGGTGAGGTCATTTATCAGTTTGGAGTTCAATATAATGAATACACTAATGATATCCAGCTGTATGTTTCAACTCTAGGTCAGCCAGGAGAGGCTGTTGAGATTCTGTTGCAGTGTCTAGTTCAGATAGGAACCAATGTAAGTTCAGATAGGGCTAAATTATCTCTGATTCAATTTTATCTAGACTGAAGTTCTATGGGTGCAATCTAGATCTGGAGATATTCCATTCTTTAACTTTGAGTGGAGCAGTAGTATGTAAATGAATGAGGTCCAAATGAAGGGGCACAGATGATCTGCTTAGCAAAGCAGCTAAGTCAAAGTTTTGAATTCCAAAAATTAATCAAGTCCTTTTAAGAGTAGTTTAACCCTGTTGCAAATAAGCTCTGGAATTACTCACTGCAAATATAGATCTAATGGACCTAGTGCTTCAGTTAGGTAGCTCTACACATTAATGTATTTATGCACTCATTCCTTTAGTTTGTCCTGTTTCTGCAGTATTCTCCAAATTAAAGCAATAGAATTTTTTAAATACAATTTTTCAATTGTTTTTCTGCTGGTGAAATATGCTATTCTTCTTAAGCCATACGGGAGCTTATTTATTTATATATATATATCCTTATATTTCAGGCAATGTGGGTGCAGAATTGTCATATACTGAGGTTGGCATGTTTGTTTCTTCAGATGGTGGAAATTCCTGGAGACAGGTAATTCTTTCATCAAGCTCAATAAACAGGTTTTTCTGTCACGTATTTATTTCACGTTTCTTTAAAGGAATGCAGAATTTATGCTGTGCCTTTCTCATTTGCAGATCTTTGAGGAAGAATACAATGTATGGTTTCTTGATTGGGGTGGAGCACTTGTGGCCATGAAACACACATCAATGCCTATTCGACATCTGTGGTGAATTTCTTTTTACTTTTACCATGCTCTTTGCTGAACCTCATACTAGTGTATCCAAAAGTAATAACTAGTTACTACTACTGCTGATAGTAGTAGTTACAAATATAATTTGCAGTGTGTTTTGCAATGGAATCCTTGTTTTTTTTTTGCATTGGTTCTTTTTTCTTTTGTTGAATATTTTTCAAAGGTTACAAAGAGCTTAGACTAGCAAATAAAGTAGAAAAGTTAAATGGGCTATGGGAGTAACTTTGAGGAACAGGAGGAAGAGCCGCAGGTTTCAGATAAATGAAATCTGAATCCAAAGCAGAAATGTAATTTGAGAAAACATTGTAGACTTGACCTCTTATAGATAAAGACAGGGAAAGGGGAGTTACATTCAGACTGGCAAGATTCTGTCACTACAACCTTATAACAATATGAGTATATTTGTTTTCTTAACCTGATCTATCCCAAAGGTCTGATAGAGACACCTGCAAAAATTTATAAAATTCCAGAAAGCAAGATGGCAAGCAATCCATTTTCAAATGCTGATCAGAATCACAGCACTACATATAATCCCAGCACAATTTTTAAAAAGTCAATTACAAAGAAAAACAATTCAAAACAAAAATAAGTCTTATTGAGTTTTTGAAGCTAATATTTAAGCCCAGGACTGGAGTCTTCATTGATTACGCAATGAACAAATGTCATCAGTAGAAATCACAAGGCAGCAATGCATCTCATGCATATATATAACTAGGAAAATGTTATTTTGGTTTATTTAGTAAAGTAGGATTATCTTTGCTATGGTGATAAATGGAATTTCCATCTGTACAATTAGCATTGCTGCTTAATAAATTTACTTAATGCTCTGCTTTGCTTCTTGTAGATGTTTCAGCTCCTGAATTTTTTTAATGGACAAGATTGTGAGGTCAATTGGCTAGCTTTCAAGAATTGATATTGTCAACATTATATGTGTCAATTAAAATAATCTTGATAAGGCAGTATGTATGCAAAAAGTTGAGAAACATTATTTAAAATTATTTCTTATAGGAAAAATGAGATTATATCACTTTTGTTTTATAACTTTATTTGGATCTACTCATTCAGTCCCTATAAGCATTCTATTCATATCTTGTATTTTTTAATTGACATACTATTTTGTGTTGTTTCAAAAGCCTGTTTTCAGACAAACAACACATAAATGTAATAATCAGCCAATATTACACTAGATTGTATTGTCAGTCCTCATGCCTCTGTTGAAGACTGTAATTCAGTATCTTAAAAAACCAGACCTTGTTTCTCATCAGATTTCAATTAAGCTTCAAAGGAGATACCCACTTCCTTGTTTATATAAAATTTATAAAACTTTTTAAAAAGAACATAAAACTATAGAATAAAGAGTACAAAGAAAGAAAAAGATTCATGACACAATGATCTCCAAACAAGTAGATATTATTGACACAGAATATTGTTCAAATCAAAACTTAATTTTTTGTTAGTTTATAAATACATATAAATTTCCTTGTTTTTGTACACCACCCAAAATCACTTCTGCTGAAATGGGTGGCTATATGAGATAGAATAGAATAGAATAGAATAGAATAGAATAGAATAGATAGATAGATAGATAGATAGATAGATAGATAGATAGATAGATAGATAGAGAATCTCTTTGTCTCTGTATATCCATCTCTTTTTCTGAAAACCCTCAGATAATTGAGGAAAGATGATAGAACATAGTTATCAGCAAAACTGATAAAAGTCAAAATTTCCTTCTTACTTGCAAGACTTTGAAAAAGCGGAGTATTTTTTCATCATCGTGAAGCTGTAGTGGCTGGGAGATGGGAATGTGGAAAGCTCATTAAGTTTTGCTGATTATCATATGTCTTCCTCATTAGGCTTTTAAAATTTCAAATGGATTATTTGGTTAACTTTCCAAGGCCAAATAGGATTGGATTGGATTATTGCTACCTAATGACTGACTTTTTTCATATCTTCTTGATGAATGGGAGAAGGTGTGGCTGATAAGTGAACATTTTATTTAACCTAGTGAACAGTTAGCTACAGATGAAATTTTGTCTGCATGTTGAGGTTAAAAAAAATAAAAAGACATATCAAAGAAACTCAACAATTGTTTTCCATTGTTCTAGAGATCATAACATGGAATAATGGATTTAATTTACAGGAAGGCAGATTGAACGTTAGAAAAAAAAACTCTTTATAAAGCAATGCAACAGTGAGGTTAATTACCTATAAACGTGATGGGTCCCCTTTGTTGGGCAGTTCAAGATAAACATCTGTCAAGGCTGCTTTAATTTGAATAATTGCAGTAGGTACTTCCAAAAGAAATTCCATGGTGGGGTTGTTTTTTGGTTTTTTGTTTTTTTTTTGCACTACTCAGTCTGCTGTTTATTTAAATATTAAAGGATCATTTAAGAGAAAATGTATTATACAGAACTTTTAAATCATAGTAAATCATATTTACTATGCCTATTTTCCTCAAGTTATCTATTTTGAAATGCATTTGAAACAAAGAGTTGCATCAGGAAATTTTTGAAGTGTAAAAGATTAACTTTCCATTTGTAGATTAGTTCATGAGGTGCGGATCAGATTTCATAAAGAACAATCTCAAAAGCATATTTTATTCAATGGAAATATTTTTCCAGCTTCTTAAATGAACTATGCATTGGCTCCATTTTTTTTTTTTTTTTTGCTGGTCACCATTGATGAAATTTTCACAATGAAGTGGTAATGATGTATAAGTAATATCACAATAAAATTAAATCTATGAGATTTCTCCATCTCATAGATTCCATATTTAAGATCATATCCAAGAATGTAAAAAACGGGTTGTGGGCATTATTCCTGCTCCAAATCTCATGATATTTTCACATTATTTGAATAGATCTCACATAAGAATACCAACATTCATTCATTCATTTGTGGAGAATACATACATGCATGCATTTTCTTTGGTCACCCATCTCAGTCAATGACTCTGGATGGTTTACAATTAAGAATTCAGAATTGTCCACATATGCCATTTAAAGATGTTACAAACATGTAGAAATCCTCAGGCACTTTAGCACTAATCACTCACTTTGATACATATTTTATTTAGGGTTACAAATTTGAAAATTCTTATTTTATGGAACAACTGTGTTTGCACTAATTAAAGTTCTTGTTTGTGTTTAATACAATGTTTGCTTTCCACAATATTTTTTCATGGTCATTCTAAAAAGAAGTGTAGTTGAATTTTATAAATAGCACCAGACCTCAAGCAGGAAAGAAACACACAATAATTCACTGTGCATGTTATTGTATATGATCTTCTATTTTCCTCTAATCAGACCAATCATTTTAATCAAACATTGCTGTCACTTACTTACTTTAATTGTGGTGTATTACCCCTTCAAAGTATGTTGAACCAGAGTATTAATAATATGGAAGATTGTGAAGATTGATGCCTGTTTAAAAATCCAACTATTCTCTCTCTCTCTCTCTCTCTCTCTCTCTCTCTCTCTCTCTCTCTCTCTCTCTCTCTCTCTCTCTCTCTCTCTCTCTCTCTCTCATCAGTCAAAAACATTGTTTAATTACCTTGGAAATGGCTCCAGTGAAACATTTTCATGTGTCTTTATCTTATCTCTTTCAATCTCAGGGTGAGTTTCGATGAAGGAAGGACCTGGAATAAATATGGCTTCACATCAGCACCACTCTTTGTGGATGGGTCCCTAGTGGAGCCAGGCATAGAAACTCAGATAATGACGTAAGTTGCAGACTTAAACAAGATGCCTTGCGAGACAGTAGAGATGAGCTATTTAGGCCATCCATCAAACAGAATGTCAGGTTTGTTCCAGGGCAACTCTGGGTTGCTCTCTTGAGTCTGAAATTTTATGCTAGTATATCAACTATATCTTATTATTCTTGTAGCTTTGATGGTATGCTTCTGTTGTAAATTTTAACTGCAGCTTTAATTTAAATATGTGTGATACTAAAACAAGCTACTGATATTTACTGAGCTAGGAGCAGTTAGATTCAGAATTCTGTTTTATTTATACCAATTAAATAACCTGATCATACTGGATATTCTCATCTTTGTATACTTATATAAAATGAGAACAGACCATGTCTCTAGATTACCTTGCACTCTTGTTATGCAGGCACACTTTAAGAAGTTTTAACATTTTTTTCTTAAGACTGGACTATGTCAATTGGGATAATTAAGATAAACCTCTGTAAGGAGTTAAGATCTAGATAATGCATAGAACAGGGTTCCAGAACTGGACAAATAGAAATTTTTGCAGCCCAAATCTGGTAATCCCAACATATATCTTCTTTTTGCCAAATTAATCCATGTTATCTTGCCCATGTTTAAGTATGATATTAACTGGAACAAAAACAATTACTAACATTTAAATTTACAAATTAAAATATATGTGGGATGAAAAAGTATTTCCAGATCTTTCTTTTTGTCAGAAAAAATACATTATTTTTGTTAAGACTCAGATTATATGAGTATTACTTTTCAATGCCACAATTCATTGTTAAGGGCCCTAACAATTCTGCCTGTCAATGAATATGTCAGTAAAAGTCAATCTTCTTTTGCAACTACTCACCTTGAAAATTAAATGGCATATAAATCTAACTATTATGTATCTCGATAGCTGAAGTAAGTGAAGGCCTGAAAACAAAGGTTCAAGGCTCAGGATGAGACTTAAATCTACAGTTGTACTTTTTTCATTTTGTTTCATTGCCCCTTATAGCCTTTAAATAGATCACTTCACACATTTATCTTTAGCCAGAAATAAAACAATCCACATCAAATGTTCTTTTTAAAGACAAAACAGTCTTGATCATTTGTTTTATCTATCTATCATCTGTCTGTCTGTCTGTCTGCCTATATCATCCATCTATCTATCTAATTGTCAAAGTAATATTTGAAGACACTTTGCTTGGTTTCATCACTACTTCTTCCTTTTCTAAATATTTGGAAAATAATGGCTGGCTGATGACTTCTGAGGTTTGAAGTAGGAATCATAATAACTATAAGTGGCTGACAAGTTTCTTTTTATATACAACAGTTACTCATATGGGTTGTATTTTTGTTTTGGGAGTAGGGGAATAGAGGTTGCCAGGTACCCACATTGGGATTGTCTTTTTAAAGTGAGAGAGTTTACATTTTGAACTTTAAGCCTCTTGGTCTTAGCAAGTATTTTGGTTCTACTGGTACAAAGCCTTTCCTATTACTAATTTTGTTATATTGTACTGGCACTCCCTGGGTTAAGAGTGAGTTCCATTCCAATTGTGTCTTTAACTTGAATTTCTACATAAGTTGGAACTGATCCATACAAATGTCTGCCTATTATTGAAAATACCAGACACTGCTGTTCTTCCTAGAGCCCACAAACTGCTGAAGCAATGCAATACTTTTAGGAATCACAGAAAACTACTGAAAGCAGGCTATATATTAAAAAATCAGTGACTTCAGCAGTTCCTGAAAACATTGTGTGTCTTCAATAGTTCATTGACTCAAGGAAGGAGAACACTATCCACCATTTTTAACAATAGGCAGTTGATTTGTATCTACAGTTCATCCTTACATCTGACATATAGAAACCAGGGATTGCCTGTATTTCTATTGCAGGTGTTAGTTGCTATCTATAACACAGGCCGGCAGTTTGACACCCCTGCTATAGGAACTCTCTTCTAGTACATGAGGGACAGGATGTGATGTATTTCTAGTCAAATGCAGTTTTGCTTCAATGAGAAAAAATGTTTTATTCTGCAAATATGGTCCAAGCAGCTTATTTTTATAAGACAAGTCATTGAATATTGCTTTGGCTATTTCATATTTCAGAAAGTGTGTTTGCTTACATTTCTTAGTGTAGTTTCAGTTTTGTCCATTGGATAATATCAGGTAAATGAATGGCTAGAGTTTCACAAAGTAATCAATTATTACTTTTTAAAAAAGAATTCTGGATTTTTCAGTCTCTCTGTCTCTATGTATGTAAATATAAAATGTTCTTTGCAAGCATAGTTTTGATCTGAAGCATAATGGAATTTAAATAGAGATAGTTTTCTATTTGCATTTTTATACAGTTTATGTATACCTAATTCTGCATTTATGGTATGCAAACCAAAATGATTAATCTTTGAAAAGATAAATCTCTGAATTTTATGATAGAGTTGTCCAATTCACCCCCCCCCCAAAAAAAAAGTGTATAGTAAAATACATTTGTTTGGGAAATGTATGCCTAAGAATTAAGATTTTCATGAAAGTATAAAAAATACAGGTAGACCATGTGACACATAGCTGTAAAGAAATTTCTAGTACTGATTTCAGCTGGAGATGGCAACTTTAGATTGACATGATGGATAAGCTGGATATTACACTGATTTATTATATGTACCTATAATTTGCCAAAGTCTGCACTTCCTTTATTGTAAAAAGAGTGGATTATTTTTGGGTATAAATATCTGATGAGATAATGATTGCAAAGACATATCAAAGAAGCTCAACACGTTTGTCTCCAGAAAACAGAAATAGCTCAATTTCTCCTAATATCTTCCATGTGTCCATTTCAAAATACTTATGAAGCATTTCATCAGCATTGTCCTTAAAAAACAGAAACAACAAAGAAAGCTTGATAAATTAGTTGTGATTACTTTTAATCAGGTAAAGGAAGCTTTATATAAATATTCTTTGTGACCACTAGTTGAGAAAAGCTTTGATGGGAACAGCTGCAAATACATAGGTTCCATAGAATTCGAATATATGATTTCATTGATATCCCAGTTATCTACAAAACCAGTCATAAGTGTTTGAGGGAGGGACAAAGAGAGCAAAGGTTTATCTGGGCAAATTGGGACAACCTGGCTATTTCAAAGATATGTATTAAAGAGCAAAACAGATTAAGTAATAATTAGGAATAACCACCCAAATTCCATTTTAAGGCTTTGATTTTTAAGAGCTACTTTATGGGTCAATTATTGCTTGTAATATCTACAGTATAACTAGATACTGGTTGCATAGTCCTATATCCAAAATTAATTTGTATTTTTTTTAAATTAATAAATGGCATGCACAGACACATTCAGTAAAGGTGCAATCAAAATATTAAAAACACATCAAATTTTTACAACCTTTTAGATTCATGCACATTTACATATATAATAAGCTGATCACATATTTAATCGTTCATGAAATTTAATAGTCATCCTTTTCAAACTTAATTATGATCAGTTTCCTAATCCTGAAGTTGGACATGGAAATATCTAGCTCTGTTCCAAAAGCTCAGGTCTCAGATTTTCTAAGAATAATCTTATAAGCAGTTTCTGTTCCCTAAATATTTGCATAATGATATTTTGAATATACTCTGACAGAACTAAATTATTTCTCTTTTAAGACAAATAACACTGGACACTTTCCATTAATGCCTACTAAAAACTTGGTAGAAGCTATCACTACAATCTATGTTTGTCTATTATGTACTAAGCTCCTTTGATTTCACTGATATTATACCCAAATAAAGAAATCATAGGACTTCATACCAACTGAGTATTCTCTATAGAGATGGCCTTGTAGAAGAAATTCAAAAGCCATTAGATAAATACCAGGAGTGGTATTTGAATATAATAGTCCAGCCCCTTGCTCAAGCAAGTGAGTGTCTAGTCTCTTCTTAAAAATCTCCAGTGATGGAGCACCCATGATTTCTGGAGGCAAGCTGTTCCACTGGTTAATAGTCCTCACTGTCAGGAAGTTTCTCCTTAATTTCAGGTTGCTTCTCTCTTTGATCAGTTTCCAACCATTGTTTCTTGTTTTGCCCTCTGGAGTTTTGGTGAATAATGTGACCCACTCTTCTTGGTGGCAGCCCCTCAAACACTGGAATATTGCTATCATGTCTCCCCTATTTCTTTTTTTCTTTAGACTAGCCAAACCCAAGTCCTGCAGCCATTGTTCATATGGTTTAGTTTCCAGTCCTTTGATAATCTTATTTGCTCTTTTCTGAATTTTGTCCAAACTCTCAACATCTTTTTTGTGATATGGTGACCAAAATTGGCTGCAGTATTCCAGGCGTGGTCTTTTATAAAGCAATACTACTACTACTACTACTACTACTACTACTACTACTACTACTACTACTAATAATAATAATAACAACAACACTGCGTGGATGAAGGGCATGATTCATTGTCATTATTTTTCTGGTCTGCCTATCCATTGCTTATAATAATAGTAAAGTTGGAAGTGACCTTGGAGATCATCTAGTCCAACCCACTGCTCAGGTAGGAAACCCTATACCATTTCAGACAAATGGCCGTCCAGTCTCTTCTTAAAAACGTCTAGTGTTGGAGCATTCACCACTTCTGGAGGCAGGTTTTTCCACTGGTTAATTGTTCTAACTGTCAGGAAGTTTCTCCTTAGTTCTAGGTTGCTTCTCTTCTTGATTAGTTTCCATCCATTGCTTCTTGTCCTGCCTTCAGGTGCTTTGGAGAATAGCTTTACTCTCTCTTCTTTGTGGCAGCCCCTGAGATATTGGAACACTGCTATCATGTCCCCCCTCGTCCTTCTTTTTGTTAAACTAGACATACCAGATTCCAGCCACCGTTCCTTATATGTTTTAGCCTCTAGTCCCTAATCATCTTTGTTGCTCTGTTGCTTTGTTGCTAATACTTCACGTGATCTTGATTTTATGCCTCTGTTTATACAACCCAGGATTGTATTAGCTTTTTTAGCTGCTGCTGCACACTGCTGGCTCATAGTCA